AAAAGCAGAAAAGACCAGCAGAAGAGGCGAGGAAAAGGAGGATGACCGAGAAACAAAAGAACACGACGTGGACAAGGGCATTGAATGAAGAGGAAAGAGTACGAAGAAGGGGAGATTAAGAGATCGAGAGCAAGGGTCTAATTGGGAGAGCACTAGAGAAGCTAAGTGGGCGACTCGAAACGAGGACAGCCCCACTCCTCGACGTGACGGCCGCTCCCGGAGCCAGCCGGTGCGCGCCCGACCCACGCCCCCTCTCTCACACCTCCGACCCCCCCTGCGCGGCGCACCTATCCGCTGTGCGCCGGCTCGAGCGCCTATCGCCAAATCGCGACGTTTGAGCGCAGCGCACGCGTCCCACACGTCACGCGCGCGCAGGAGAGCTTGCGGCAGAGCAGTAGCGTGTACTCGCCGAGGGCATCGCGCCGAAAACCCCGCGCGTTCCGCCCCAGCAGAGGCTGCAGCCGATGTGGAAAAAACACCACTGTAAAACGGTGAGTACTTGGGGTTGAGTGGGCTTGCTTGCTCCCTCAGCCGGGAGCAAAAATGCAAGAAAAATCGGGCGGTTTCGAGCTAGTACACTCGACAACCCACCTTGAGAACACCCTGGAACAAAGCGTGTTCAACAACACCACAGACACTCAACATCGTTTCGGCACATTATTCTTTGTAGATGGTACATGCATAAGGATGCCATGAGGACTGTCTCTCCTCACCGCCGCTGCCACGGCAAAGGCGGCGGCGGCGTCGTGAGGGCTCGTAGCTCAGTGGCACGCGGCTCTCACAGCCGGACCAATCATCTTGCGAGGCTCGGAGCAGAGGACAGACACGATGCCCATGGCTCATGCGGGAGGCGGAATCCATATGGCCCATATGCTTCGCTGGCGTCATGCACCCATGGTCGCAGCGCCGGTATGGATCAACATGGCTAGCTCAGCTGCAGCAGCGCGTCGAGGCAGCACTCCTCGCTCCGGAGCAGCGCCGCTCCCTGCCTGCCCTCGGAAGGCAGCCGCGGCGGAGAGAGCGGTTGGGAGGGGCACGCATTCTCGATAGCCGACGTATCGAGGATCGTAACGCACCGCTCCAGCGGGAGGGCAGGCGGCGGCAGCGAAGAGGGAAGTCCGCACAAGCTGGCGGCCGCCAACGCCGCCTCGGGGTCGCACCGCTGCCGCAGAGACGGCGGTGTGACGGCAACCTGGCTGCCCTTGTGCTGCGCGAGACGCGCCATGCGCTCGACCTCGCGCTGCAGCGCTATCGCCCTCGTCTCCGCCGCAGCTGCCGCATGCTGGGTGGATGCAGTCCGGTCGAGCTGTGGCTCACAGTCCCTCCTCGCTTCGAGTTCGACCTGCCGCTGCAGAGCCGCGGCGCGAGTCGCGACGATGTCGCTCCAGCCTCGGTCCATCGACACGCGAACTCAATCTGAGCACAGCTGACGCGCTCAAAGCAGGCCACAGGCCCAGCTCCACGGGTCGAGGCCGAGGTGTCTGAGGACAACTCTTCGCCGAATTGATTCACGTTCCCGGCAGAATCAGACAGAATGAAGAGAAAGCAAAGGCGCCGGCGTCCAACAAGACGTACGCCGCCGCAGCCGCAGGGTGCCACCGCGGGTGGCCAGCCCGCCGCGCCTGCGGGCCCGACCGCCGCCGCGCGCGTGCCGCCGCCGCCCACCCAGCGGCGGCGGAGTGCGCGGCTGCTTCTGTCCCTAACCCGGGCAGGAAGCGCGGGCAGCAGCAGCGCGGCAAGGGCCGCGGTGCCAGGGGCCGTGCCGATGCTGGACCCCCCGTCTCGTTGACAAGAACGCGCTGTCCGCGCGCGGCAGCGGGCCCTCGCGCCAGTCACGCTCGCCGTCGCCTGACTCTCCGCCCGCCAAGCGGGCCGCCTCCGCTGACCTCGTCCGGCTATGAAACCGATACGCCGGACGAGGTGCAGCAGGTATGCCGCGCGCTCGGCATGAGGACGCAGTTCGACGCGGCGGTGGCGGCGGGCGAGCTTCTCGAGCTGCTCGAGAGCTTGCCGCGAGGGGCGGTCGAGGCCTCTGTCCGACAGATGCGGGGTTACACCCGCACGGGCGAGTGGCCGGAGCCCATTCTCGCTAGCCCTGCCCTGCAGCGCGGCCGCTCGCCAAGCCCCCCAGATGAGTGGTCAGATGGATAGTGCCCGAGAGCGAGGGGTCCGGGGGGGAGCACAAATAGGACGCCCAGCCCTGCCCTCGTGCCGCCGAGTGTGTATCCTATGCGAGAGAGATCCCCTGTGCCCTGTGCCCAGCCCTCTCCGCGCGGCGATGCGCCCTCCCCCCTCGCTTTTGCAAAATCCTGCAAAGGTGGGGACGTGTCTGTTCTCGACCCAGCCCTAGCTTGGGATGTCCGTTTTATTTATTTATTTATTAGCGACCCTACCTACCTGCCTCCTGCCTACACCCAGCTGACCTACCCTGACGAAGCAAAGAAAGGAAGGAAGAAAACACCAACCCAAGGTGCAAGGAGGGATGGGAAGAAAGAAAGGAAGAAAACAGACAAACCAAGAGAACTGGCCGACTGCACGCTAAAGGCTACACGCTCGCACACCACTTGCTGAGTGGCTCTCCCAGGCGCTCAGCCCATGGCGGAGGCACGCCAGGCCCCGGGGAGTCGGCCGTCACTCGCCTAAGCGCCTAAGCGGCCTAAGCGGGGGGGTGCTTAGGGTGCTTAGGCGCTTAGGCGGCCCTTGCGAGCGTGGCGGCGTGGTGATATCGTAACACAAGTGACTCCAATGACACTCATGATGCTCCTGCTAGTGTCATCGCTCAGAGAGCAGCCTCACCACGTCCACTGTCTACCACTGGCCCTGCCCCTGGTCGGCGCACACTGCCGCTGAGCAGCGCTGGTGCGGCTACTCAGCATCAGCCTCGTCACACGCCTCCGCCAGCGCCGTGAATTCCTTATCCAGTTCTAATACTCTTGTATCGCTGCCTTGACCGTGTCCGCACCTGCATGGTCCAGCAAGTCGCCGTGAAAAAACCAAGCGACAGAATGGAAGCCACGGTCGTCGGGACCTGCCGAACCAGAGACGAGGTACTCCAAGCGGTCGTCGTCTTCATCGACAGGGTTCCTCAGCGCCACCGCAGTCATCTGGCTCGGATCGCAGTAACGCACGCCGAGCACCTCTTCAATTTCCAGCAAGTCTGCGTCCATGGACCCGGCAACCTTGTCGCTGGCGAGTGGTGGCAGATGACCGACATCCCACAGCACCAGCAGCAAAGGCGGGCGGGCCGACCCCGCGGCCATCGCCGCCGCTGCCGCCTCCCCCTCCGCCGCCGACCCCTCCGCCGTCGCCGTCACCTTGGGCTGCATCACCCGCGCCGCGTCGCGCACCGGCTCGTGCTCATTCAAAGGCGCCTCGAGTTGCAGGCCAGCGGCACTGGCGTTGTCGTGGTCGGGCTGCCCAACGTCGGCGCAGGAGGGAGGGGGCAAAGCCGTTATGAAGAGCGCGAGTGCGAGCGCCAAGAGGGCCCAGATTCTGAGCAGCAGCCGGCCTGGTCATGCGACCACTTGCCGACGTGCGTCCAGCATTCCACTAAGGACGAACGCCGAAGTTTGCTCTCCGACGTCGTGCCGAGCGAAACCTTTTCCTTCGAAGCTCAGCGTCGTAGCCGGGCGAGCGGAGTAGGGCAGTCCTAGAGAGCACCTTGAGGCCATTCAATAGAGCCCGTACTATAGTCGAGAGTCGCTCGCCGGCCGGCGCAGTGCTGCTCTGACTGCTCCGCCGGGCCGCCTCCGGGCCGCCGCCGCGGAGACGTGCACATAGGCAAGTTGGTATTTTAATATATGAACTTCAAAATAGTATTGGCTAGTCTAATTCTACTCATCACAACTCGCCAGGAACACCCCCACACTATAGGGTCACTGTGTAGCCCTGCTTAGAAGGAAAAGGTTTTGTGCAAGGTCCGTATGGCTCACCGTGTAGTCGGCCAATCTTCTACATCTCTTCAAACCAAGGGAGGGATGGGAGGACGGCACGCCGCCACCACACAGGGATTTTAAGGAGAGGAGTGTGGTGCTATAGCCGTCGCCCACCCTTGGGTGTCTGCCTCTCCTATCTCTCTTCGCAGATTCGACAACGGTATTGCTAGTTAGAGTTGTTTGGTATTGTAAGGTATTGCTAAAAATCTCTCTCTCAGTGGTCCCTCGCCGATTCTTTCTACAAAATTCTCTCCTGATTCTCGCTGCAACCACCCAACCTTCATGCCACCTCGCGAGTCGTCCCACCCACTCTTAACCCTCGGCCCCAGTGGAGGGCGCCCGTACCGCCTAGCTCTGCGGACGGACCTCCACCCTTCACGTACGGATCAAGTCCCCAGAATAGGTGTCGTGGAATCGCTTGTCATGTGAGAGAGTCCGTTGTGTTGACCCGATGGGTTTTGACCGCGCAAGATATAAAGGGTGTCCTAAGGGCTCTGCTCGCAAGGCGCCCGCGTCGCAGACGCGGTACCATTGACAAATCTGCAATATACCCCCACACGAACAAATAGCAAAATCCGAATACCGTGCACGAACTGCGATGTCGGATGCAAGCCTTCAGCTGGTGCCAAGACATCTTACCTTATATTTCCCCGCGGCCGGTTTTCCGTTTCGGGCGACGGCACACTCACCGAGCTATCCGGGCGGGGAATCATGTCGGCGAAGGCGGGCTCTGGCATCTCGGTGATGCGCTCCGATCTCGACGCGTCGACCTCGACGGAGGTGGACGCGCACGAGGCGCAGTGGCGGGCCGGCGTCAACCGCCAAGCGCGTCCAGACGCCGCTTCGCAAAGACGGGCGGCGTCATTGGCTGCTGCAGCCAAGCAGCGGCGGATAAGGACATGAACAACATACCTGCGCAAGCCGTCGCCCGGGCGGCCGCAGGCGGTGCCATCTCAACCCACTCTCGGCACCGCTGCACGTGCGTGCTCCCTCTCCCACCCAACTCGGCTCCACTCTCGTCCACCCGCGCCCACCCCATCATCTGCTCTCAGGCTGATTGCGGCGTGTGTTGCGCAATGCCGAGCCACCAGACGCTGGCCAGAGCATGATTGTGATGCCTCTGTCTGGGCCGGGGGGGTTTTTACCAGCGCGGGGGCAGTCCTTCGTGCCCTTGGAAAGCTTTGGGACCCTTTTTGATTTGCATCCAGTCCAGATTACCAGTGGGGGGGGGGCTTTGCCCCCCCCCCCCCCCCCCCCCCGGCAGAATGGTAAACTCGTGTCTACTCACCTCGTCGGCTCCATCGGCTGCCTCTCCTCGTGCGCCGGCTGCCTCTCCATCCAACCGCTTCTGCGTCCCCTTCTCTGCCCGGTGCTCGCGTGTCGCGATGTCGCTCTGCCGAGAGGGTCATCGCCGGCGTAGGCGGAGCGGCGGGCCCTTCGTTACAGAGACAACAAAGACATTTCACCCCTCGGGCTGTTGTTGCAGACAGAAAAACAAATTTGGCGCGCGTGCGCGCAAGGTATGCTAGTTCGTAAAATTGAAGCCAAAGAACGTCCGCCAAATCCGTGCTTTCGGAGCAACTGAGGGGAAAGCCGCTGATCGAGCCCAGCGTGCCCGCGGCCGCCTCCCGCGCAGCACCGCCGCTGGGGACGACACGCTGCGGATTCGGATCGAGCCCATGGAGGAGGAGGGCGCGGTCGGCCAGCGCAGCAGGCGGAGTCCCTCCCCGCGCCGGAGCCCCCTGCAGTCGAGGGAGTCCTCGTTGGCGATGAAGGTGGCGACATCGAATCGCGGCCGACACACGTCACGTGGGAGGAATGGGCGATGAGCGGGAACGATGCGCGCTACGACGCCGACTCCGCCGTGCTCGTGGCCGCCAAGCAGAAAGCCGCGCTCCAGGAGCACGCCAAGATGCAATGGCTCGCTTGCTTCGATTCAGCTCTCTCGGCAGCAGAAGTGGGGCTGGAGCGGGTGGGGGTGGATGCCGATTGAGGGAGAGCGTCTCCAGCTGCGCCCTGTGGCAGCTGCGCCCTGTGGCAGCTAGTCGAGGGACTTGGTAGTTGTGACCCCCCTGAGTGAGGACAGGAGAGAGAGAGAGCGTTTTGTGGTGTTGGTGTACGCAATAACGGGACAGGGTGGTTGTTCTCTCTATCTCCTCTTCTAGCTCTTAGCATGAGCTGCGCCCTGTGTCCGACCCCTTTTGCGCAGCAACACCTTAAACTTTCAGGCCCTCCAAATTCGGGTCGGAGCGTAGCGGAGTGGGCCCCGAGTTTGAAAAGGGCGACGGACGCTTGCGTCCTAGCCTCCAACAACGCCTCCCCGGCGCAGAGGGGCCCCCGGAGGGATGCACAACCGCTCCACGCCACGCCGCTTGCGGCGGTCCTCTTCCCAGCTCCGCTGAGGGCCCGTGCACTTGGAGCACTTGGAGTGCAATCAGTAACCTCACATCCAGGGCCGAGGAGCTCAGAAGCGCACCCAGCGGGCCGGATGATCGGTGTCGGGTTGCGGGCAAGAGAGCCCTAGCCCCGGGGGTGCGCGTTCGCAGGGCAAGGGCCTTAAAGTAAACACGGGTCTCCGAGGGTTGGTTCCGTGTACCGGGTTTCCCCTTAACTTCAGAACGCCCCCTCTACTCGGAGCTAGTAGACATGGGCTAGTGCCATTTCACTGTGGCACAGCTCGCGTTACAAAACCTTGATTTCACCATTTGCGCAAAAAGGTACATCTCGGTGCCTTCCAGAGGCAGCTGCGACTACAAGTGCGTGGCGATCTTCGACCACCACTGCCCGTGGGTCAACACCTGCATAGGGGAGGGCAACTACCGCTACTTCCTCGCCATGCTCGCTGCCGTCGGCGCGATGACGGCGCTGCAGCTCGCGACGGCGGT